CGGGATCCCAAAATCCACAACCCAACATCCCCAACCCAAAATTCCCAACAGGATCCCAAAATCCCCAACCCAAAATCCCCAACGGGATCCCAAAACCGACAACGGGATCCCAAAACCCGCACCCCAAAATCCACAGCGGGATCCCAAAACCGACACCCTAAAATCCACAGCGGGATCCCAAAACCCACAACCCAAAACCCGCACCCCAAAATCCGCAGCGGGATCCCAAAATCCCCAACGGGATCCCAAAATCCACAACCCAAAACCCACAGCGGGATCCCAAAATCCCCAACCCAAAATCCGCAGCGGGATCCCAAAATCCGCACCCCAAAACCCACAACCCAAAATCCCCAACCGGGATCCCAAAATCCACAACCCAAAATCCCCAACGGGATCCCAAAATCCACAACCCAAAATCCACAATGGGATCCCAAAACCCGCACCCCAAAATCTGCACCCCAAAATTCCCAACTGCACCCCCAACATCCGCAGCGGGATCCCAAAACCCACACCCCAAAATCCGCACCCCAAAATCCCTAACCCAAAATTCCCAACCCAAAATTCCCAGCCGCACTGCCAAAATCCCCAACCGGGATCCCAAAATCCCCAACCCAAAATCCACAACCCAAAATCCACAACCCAAAACCCACAACCCAAAATCCGCAACGGGATCCCAAAACCCACAATGGGATCCCAAAACCCGCACCCCAAAATCCCCAACCCAAAATCCCCAACGGGATCCCAAAATCCCCAACCCAAAATCCCCAACCGGGGTGCACTGGGCAGATTTTGGGGTGCACTGGGCAGGTTTTGGGGTGCACTGGGCAGATTTTGGGGTGCACTGGGCAGGTTTTGGGGTGCACCCGGACAGCTTCTGGGGTGCACTGGGCAGATTTTGGGGTGCACTGGGCAGGTTTTGGGGTGCACCTGACAGGTTTTGGGGTGCACTGGGCAGGTTTTGGGGTGCACTGGGCAGGTTCTGGGGTGCACCTGGCAGGTTTTGGGGTACACCTGGCAGATTTTGGGGT